CCTCCCATTTTAGTACAAAAACTTATTATTGGATTCTATGGAAACCCATTGTCCATATATGTATGTCGATGGTCCTCACCCATCATTCCATGACTAACAATCAGTGTTGCCATCATGGATCCTTCTGCTCATCCACTCGCGGCTCACACTGTCTAACTCCCAGATGTCTATTGATCTCTACACCATTCTGCTGTGTGGCTTCCGTCCGACCTGAAACTCTTCACCGTATGCAACATAACAAAGCTCACCAGTCTCGCTTTTTTCAGTCATACAAACATTCAATTTTACCTCAGGGCCTCTGATCTTCTAGGAGAAAAAAATTGTGGCTCCATCTCCCTGTTTGCCATTATTTGAAGGCTACCTCCAGTCTAAGGAATCTGATGCCCCCTTCAGACAGGCCATGAAAAATGGAAATGTTCCGGACTCTGTCCGTAAGACCTTTGTGTCTGAATACAAACATCTGGATAACGTGTTCCGGAATTTATCCGGACGAAGCCCCTAGTAACAGGTCCGGACTTGTTACGGACAAGGTGGCTGCTTCAGACTGGTGAGGTAGAGTTCTGGACAAGGGGGAGGGGGGGAGGGGGGGACCGGGGGACGCTGTGCGCACCTAGATAGCCCGCTGCTGTAGCATGCGGTGAACCACGGCAGCTCGCCTCCTACGGTACCGTCTAGATGCGCGACGGAGCACTTCACACCGCTTCAGTGATTCCTTTAACCATTGAGCTTCATCATCCAGGTCTCTTATGCGTCTTCGTGTGCGCAGAATTATGCTTAAGCGCCTCGTGATTTTTATCTTGAGAGGCGCTATAGAAATTATATTTTCTTCTTCTTCTTCTTAACATGAGTCCGATTCTCCCCCCGCCGCCGTCAGACATCTGGAACTTTTCCCTGCTGTGTGAACGCAGCCGAAAGGACAAGTTCTGGTACAAAAGTGGTGTGTCTGAAAACACAGTTCCGGTTAAAAACCGGATTGAATTGCCCACACATATTCCAGAATGGCTATCTGAAAAGGGCTTAAGAAACATCACTGCTGGCTCAATCTCTCCTCACATGGCTCCAGAGAGGCTCTGCTCGTGGTTTTGACAAAAATCCTCACAGTTCTGATCTGATTGGACTGTTTCCTGCAAGGCGGCAACCACTACCACTGTCAGATTGTAACATAACATTCTCTTAGTATTCAATATAATAAATGCTGTTATTGTTTGCCAAGTTAGCTTTGCAGCACAATTGTGTCATTTTAAATAACATTTCATTTAGATTTTGATGTCTGTGTGTTTATACATATATCACATTTCTCAAATTATCATTCATTTTTAGCAAAGTGAACATGCTCTAATGTGATTAACTAATAATTAGAAACCTATTGGAACTTCAAGTGTGTGGCTATGTCAAAGTGAAGTGTAAAGGACCTTTTAGTGATTTGTGCAGCTTTTTGTGGACTGGAATCAAAACGTGAAATGTATGATGTTGGGTAATTTTTACTTCTCCATACCCTTGAACCTGAAATAAACACACACACAAAAGAGGATTTCATTGTACCCCGAGTCCCCAAAATAATGGAGAGTCGACGCAGGGGAAACCCCCTCCGAGGCTGGCCCCACGTCACTCCCATGAGTCCTCAGTTTCCCAGGGGTTTTATTGACCAACAGGACAGAGAAGGCGGGCCTTCTCAAGTTACATACAGGTACAGACCCATCTCCTAGGGTTACCACGGTAACCACATTCCAGAGATCTGGCCTTAGGCTACAAATTTCACAGGAGCCCATCATCCCACACAAAGAAAGATTCACAGACCAAGCAACATGAACATTTCATAAAAATACATAACATATGATATAACATGTATTTAATCAAACTGAGGGCACGTCGGTGTCCTGGCTAAACTATTACCAGAAGGGTATATTTGTTTCAATTCCCCCAGGACTGTTGGCCGAGGAAGTGGCCTGGCCAGAGTTATTAAGGACTGCTTTAGCTGTCGCTAAGTGGGCTCGAAGATGCTCTTCCGTAGTTTAGAATACTCCCTGTTTGACTTTGGGTTTTCTTCTAAATTTCTGGGGATGCTTATTTACCGTCCACCAAATTTTTGTCTGGATTTTTTGACTAACTTTGCTGATTTGCTGTCAGTTTTTATCCCCAGATATGATCATGCTGTCATTTTGGGTGATTTAATATACATGTGTTGGGTATTTGAATTTATACTATTGTTCTTATATTACCTTAAAGGAAGTTAGGATTAGATTCTTAATTTGGTAAATTGTAACAAACCTTTAAACAGACAACAAACTCTGCAAAGTGTGACACTTTGCAAAGGCCATAACATACGTTACAAAGCTCACTTTGTAACGGGTGAGAGTGAGGCACAGAGACACACTGGAGTCAGAAGCCATTTTCCTCTCACAAAGGAGCCGAAGCTCGTGGAGTCAATTTATTGAATACATAAACTACACCCACAATTTATGAACCACCCTTCTTTGCCTTAGGAAGTCTACAAAGAACACAAGAGAAGTTTCTAGATTTGAGCTAATTTCCTACCTGACCAGTTTTGCTTTAACTAATGGAAAACCCCTTGGTCTTAGAATGCACAGGACAAAGGAATTCTTCAGATACTAGATCTACAAGTTTCTTGGTCTGGCAGAAACTCCCTGGTTTGGACTTTTCCTAAAAGTGAGGTAACTTCACAATCAAAGATGAACAATAAAAAAATACCTAACAATCCCTCCTGATGTTCATTTTTGTTGTTTTAACAAATCAGAATAAGATTTCACTAGCCCAATAATCAATAAGCACGAATTATGAATCAATACGATGATTTTAGCTTAACAATAACCCAAACACCAAAATCTACTTTATCCTGTGTGCCTAGCTTTATTAAGATAACCATAATAGGTGCAAGAAACTTTAACACGAGTTGATTTCAATTATCAGATACCAGCCAACTCAGTCGATTCGTTGGATTTCAGGAAGTTTCTAGAGGGGGAAAGTTGATGTTAAAACAATGTCATCCATAGAATGGTGTTGCCCTTTCGTCGAGATGAGACAGACGCAGACTCTCTTTCTTCAGCTCAAATGTCCTCGTAAGGATGCCCATCTTCAAGCAACGTGAAGTGGGGGGCAGGGAGCCAACCTGCACTTTGGGCCACACCAGTTGTGTGGCAGGAGAGAGAGAGAGAGATACTCTGAGAGATGGTGAGGGGATGTCTTTTGGACAGGGAGCCATGAAACCAGACGGGAGATTTGGGGTACTGGATACGTCATTGGAGGCAGGTCACAGTGTCGTGTGGACGACCCAGGAGGGGTCTCAAACACCAGATGTTGACTCCGTTGTCCCTCCCAACTGCTGCTATTCCTCTTGTTCCATCAGATGCTGAGGGGCAGTTTCAGAGCAAAGTGCGATCCCCCACCATCAGCAGCGACATGGTGGATTGGCCCTGCAAGCTTAAGGCAGATCTTTTACTTATCTGCCGTCCTCAGCGAGCCCATTCTATCCGATGATGATCAGTTGTAGTGGCCTCTCAGCAGTATGCAGCAGTGGGAGGGATGAGATGAGTGACCTTGACGCCTCATTTGCGGTGTTAACACGTGCAACAGGACCCCAAACTCCTTGGTTCCATGGCCTGCGGTGAGAAAGCGCAAAAGGGTCATTGTGGCTTTTTGACATCTTCAGCAACAACCATTCAGTATACAGTTCAGTTTGGATTCCAAATGGGGCCAAAATTCACCTGAAATTTACCATCATCATCCTTAAGCTGGAATCAATTCATATAATTATCAGCAAACTATACCAAAGTACATTCATCAATTCATTTTCCATGTTGTATTAAACAACCCACACCATTAGTTTATGTAACCCAATAACTGGTTGATAAGACTCATTTAACAAGAAGTTTTTAGGTTTATGAAAAAGCCAAACACCTTTCTGTAAAAACAGTAAGTCAAACCATTATGGCCAGATATCTCTCCTTGGCAAAGAGTCTGCTTATGACAAGAATCCAAGAAACAAAAACAAAATCTCACATCAGGATGTTCTTACTTGTTTACGGATCAGGCAACTTAAAGGCAAAATAAAACATTTAAACAACAGTCATAGTAAAAGAAAAGATGTAAATACATCACTCCAGGAGTTAGAAAATCAAACTGAACAAACTCAAACAACAGTAACTAATTATAACATAAAATCATTAGATTTGAAAAGACTGTCTCAGCAAAAGAAAATTAACAGAGTTTTAACAATTAACCCTAAGAAATCTATGTATACCAGGCTGAGACCACTGCGTTTTGCTTCAGGGTGAGTCAAAGGCCAAAATAATAAAGAATAAACCTTACTACTCAATAACACTTGAAGTACCATATATCTGCCTGGCTTATCAAACAAGCAAAAGGTTAAACAGAAATGGCAGCTCACCCTTACTATAGCAGTATTAAAACACAATTTACACCAGGCAAAATGTCCTGTTAGGACAGTGGGAGGGTTAAAGAAAGTGACATTTATTCCATTTAAATTGTCAAGCCCTTTTTGTAAATAGCTAAAATTGTGGAGATGGATCAATCTTCCTTTAAATGTATTGCTACTATTCAAATTCCTAGATTGTTTATAAAAAATGTTTTTAAGATTTGAATTATAATAAAGATGATTGAAAAGAACCCAGACTGTATTTACATCTGAAGTACTAATTCATTTATATAGATATATACACACACATACACACACACACACGCATATACACACACACACGCATACACACATACGCACACACACGCATATAAACACACACACGCACATACACACATGTATATATCGTTCCTGCTCACAATAATTTTTATATAGGTGTAGATTCAATTATTTTAAAAATAAAGTTTATGTTATTCATTGGCATATGAACATAAAAATGAAAAAAGCTGCTGAAAAATTTACACATTTTTGACTTAACAGTTTTCGAACCCACTGCAAGGTGGCAAGTCCGGTTTTGGAAGTTGTTGATGTGCTGAAGCTTTAAGCTGCAATTTGATTGGCTGTCAGTGCATTACGCCTTTATGCGGCTGGCCCCCGCGTGACAGGCGGGGATACTGTCCACTATACTAACGAGGAACTCACATTCTGTATCAGCCAACTACTGACCCGCTATATCAATGTCATTGGCTGGCTTTGCATGATTGGCAACATGCATGGTCCAAAAAGTGTTATTTGTACAACTTGTGACTTTTACTGATAGGTAAATCTAATTGTCAAACAGAGTTACCTAACCCTAAATGTTTGCAGGAATTCCTTTCTGCCTGAGGGCTTCCTTTCTGCTTGAGGTACTTATTTACATTTAAATGTTTGCAGCAACTCCTTTATGATTTAGGCACTTTTGTTCTATTATATGGAGGCCAAACCGGCCAGACCGGGAGTCTCTTATGCAGGAACACCGTCTTGCCCTGGCCAAGAGACTCGCTGATCTATTATCTGAAGAATCCCTTTTGTCTTCTGTGGATTCCTGAGGCCAAGGGGGTTTTTGAGGAATTTATGGGTGTGTGTGTGCTCTTGCAAATAAATTCACTCCAGAGTTTCGACTCGGGGTGAGAGGAAACTGGTTTTCGACTGGTGTGGATTGATTTTTCTCACCCTTTGCAAGTATCTCACACTTTGCAAAGTATGTGTTCCTTGTCTGTTTAAGGTTGTTTACAATGTACCAAATTATCAATCTAATCCCTCTGTGTGTGCTCTGAGTTTTCTTTGAGGTAATACAGGACAAATAAAAATTACCCAACGTTTTTGGTGCTGAAACCCGGGAGAGCAGATCCCTTCAGTGGGAGTTCGCCTTCGGAGAGCTGCATGGCGCCTCTTCCTCATCAAAGTCCGGGGGGCTGAGAATTGCCCCATCGGCCAGCTGTTTATCTCCGCAGACGAACTTCCATTAACAGGCTCTCGCGCACGGACTCAGGGCGAGTCTGCCACTCAGGGAGAGAGTGAGTACCTAAATTAAATTGCACCCTTTAATTTTTTAATAACCAGTTGACAGTGTGGTTTTACGCTGGTGGTGATTTTGCCATCCACGCACGAAAGACGTTTCGGGCCCCGGTTAAGGGCTGGACTGATAGCCGCCGGACCTTGTCCTGGACTCCCATGCATGGTCCAAAAAGTGTTATTTGTACAACTTGTGACGTTTACAATGGGTAAAACTTCTTTGAAGGTCCTCATGGTTGTCAGCACAGAAATGCTGAGCAAATTAACAGGCAGAAAATGTAGCAATGGTGAAACCCAAAGGCTAGAAGTCCAGTACCGAAAAAAAAAAAAAAAGCCTGCTCATGTTACCGTCCTGTGCACCAAGAGTACTGGCGTTGCTAATGCGCTTGTGTGCATTGGTGGTCCAGTGGTAGGATTCTCGCCTGCCACGCGGGAGGCCCGGGCTCAATTCCCGGCCAATGCAACCTCTGTTGGATAGAATTCCAAGGCCTGTCCAATGCATCCATCAAAGTTAGTAGTCATCTATAATCCAAGTCTCTCGTGTGACAGGCAGTGATTCGCTCACCAATACGAACAATGACCTCTTACTCTTCATGCGCCTATTCCTCAACGGGCCTTTTGAAACATCTATGCCAACAGATGGCATTGCATGATGTGCAACAATTGTCATCAGACAGCATTTATTGGTTACCCTTGGAGCTGTGGCAATGAGTAAAGATGGTTTGAACATCCTAAAGGTTTCCACCACAGAAATGCTGAGAAAAACGACACATTAGGAAGAAACCCTGTGTTCCAATGGCTGTCCTAAATGACAGCTAAAAAACATATCAAATGATCAATCACTGCAGTTCAACGAATAAGTGTAAATGAAGACACGGTGGTGCAGTTGATGTGGAAAGCAAGCTAAAAAATGTTGATTTATGCATTCAGGTTCAACTTACAAAACGACTTACAGTTCAATTGAGTTCCAACAAGATGCCGTATCAAAATACAAAAAGCTTCCATTACAAACATGTAGAGACCTCAGTGACAATGAGAAAAACAAGTAGAAGTAACTATTCTGAAAAGAAAATGAAGGCTGCACATTTTACTGTGCCATGCATGATACGTGCAGGCCATAAAGGTTAGCGTGTCCTGGTTGGTAGGCCAGTGGTAGCATTCAACAGCTGCCACGCAAGAGACCTGGGGTTAAATAGCAGCAGTTGAAGTTATGGTCAAGTGCAAAATTGGCCATTTTGTTCAATGCATCAAGCTAAAGTTAACTGCGGTCTCCCCGTCAGGGAATCGAACCCCGGTCTCCCGCGTGACAGGCGGGGATACTGTCCACTATACTAACGAGGAAGTTGAAGTGATGGTCAAGTGCAAATTGTTTTTGTGAAAAATTGACATTTTGTTCAATGCATCAAGCTAAAGTTAACTGCGGTCGCCCGTGCCCCATGCCGGGACCGAGAATTGTTTAGCTAAACGCCCCTTAACCAAATCTCATTCATTCCCAATGGAAATCCTAAACCACTGCGGATGTAATATAATTTTGGCCACTACGCATTGTGGCGCTGTTCCGGTCTTCTCTCTCCTAGGAAGCTGCCTGAAATGGTAGTTAGGCCCGAGCAGCGAAGCGCTGCGAAGGCCTATTGTATCTGCTCCGTTTATTAGGCCCGAGCAGTGAAGCTGCGAAGGCCTATTGTATCTGCTCCGTTTCTTCTTCTTATTAGGCCCGAGCAGTGAAGCTGCGAAGGCCTATTGTATCTGCTCCGTTTATTATTAGGCCCGAGCAGTGAAGCTGCGAAGGCCTATTGTATCTGCTCCGTTTATTATTATTATTTATTATTATTATTATTATTTTTTTTTTTCTTCCGCGTCTTTGGGTGGCCTTTAGGGGGTCTTAGCATATCCAAAAACTCACCAAATTCTGGCCCAATATAGAAAGTGCGTGAAATTTACGTATTTCAGTGGCAATGTGAAAGTTCATAAAAAAGTGGCTGAACAGCGCCCTCTAGAAAGTGAAAAATACCCCTCTCCATTAAGCTTAATTTATCGTACAGTTATGAAATTTGGTTTACTTGTAGTACTCAACAGTCCGCACAGAAAAGTCTCTTGCAACCATGGTCAATATCAAACAGGAAGTCGGCCATTTTGGGTTGAAATGGCGATTTTTAGACATTTTGGCCATTTCTAGGGTCTATATTTGGTTGAACAGTTTGGTCATTTTTAGCACGATCGTCTCAAAAATAGTGTGCTATCGAACAGAAGCGATGGACGATTAAAATGAGACAATAAAATTGACTTTTCGTAAATAATGAAGGGGCGGGGCCAGGCCTCAAAGTTCGAGCACTCGCCAAAAAAATTCAAATTGCTATAATTTCATAAATGAAAGAATTACAGTTAAAGTAACTTTCTATAGACAATCGGCATCGCCCCCCGAAGACAAATGAATGTTCGATTGATGATGTCACATAAGCCCCGCCCCCTCAGGACTTAAAAGGTCAAGTTTTACTGGGAAATTTTCAAAAAATCGCCCTTTCAAATAATCATCCCAAATTTGTAGCAGGTAACTGAAGACAAGTTGGGGTTTCTTGGCGTCACTTTATGGGAGTTTTCTGCAGAAGGCGGGGCTGTGGCGGCGCGGCGAAGTCAGGCGTACCGACGTGGCCTTACGTTTGCCTCCCATTTCGTCATTTCTAGAGATATCGCCACGACACTTCTTGGGAGTGATCCTAGTCCGGCCCCCAAAAGAATCTGATGTGAACATCTGGTGGGCGTGGCCTATTTTCTGAAATAGCGCCCCCTAGGACCATTAAAACTGTCAGCCCCAAGCCATGCTTTGACTGAGGAGTACGAGATTTGGTACACTAATGTGGTGTCTCAGGACCTACAAAAAAGTCTCTTGGAGCCAAGTGCAAAGTCGCACAGGAAGTCGGCCATTTTGGTCCAAGTACTCGATTTAGTGGTTTTCGCACACGTAGTTTGGAGAGTGATGCTCCATCACCCTTTTCACCAATCACCTTCAAACATCTGCTATACACTCTAAAGACATAGAAGAAAAAATTCAACCATCGGATTTTAAATAAGTATAAAGGTGTGGGCGTGGCTAAGCCTCAAACTTTGACTTGTCGCCACGCCACTCTTTTTTTCACAGCTCCCTATTGGACTCCTTTTACTCAATCACCAGCAATCACTGGCAAATAGCAGCAGACAAGTTGAGGTCACTTGGTCTATAGTACTGGCAGGTTTCGAATAAAGGCGGGGCTTTGGGAGTATGGCGAAGTTTGCCATCATGCCATGGAAATACGTTTGTCTCTCATTTCTTCAATCATTGTGACATCGCCACACAATTTCTGATGAGTGATCCTACTCTGACCCCTAATAGAAATGGACAGCTGAAGTTTGTGGGCGTGGCCTATTTTCTGAAATAACGCCCCCTAGGACCATTAAAACTGTCAGCCCCAAGCCATGCTTTCACTGAGGAACACGAAATTTGGCACACTAATGTGGTGTCTCAAGACCTACAAAAAAGTCTCTTGGAGCAAAGTGCAAAGTCGCACAGGAAGTCGGCCATTTTGGTCCAAGTACTCGATTTAGTGGTTTTCGCACACGTTGTTTGGAGAGTGTTGCACCATCGCCCTTTTCACCAATCGCCTTCAAACTTCTGCTACATACTCTTAAGACAAAGGGGAAAAAATTCAACCATCGGATTTCAAATAAGTATAAAGGTGTGGGCGTGGCTAAGCCTCAAACTTTGACCTTTCGCCATTACATTCCTTGACTTAACAACTCCCATGTGCATGATCAGATCTATATCAAACTGTGTCTGTGTGATCATTGACCACATCTCAAGACAATGACAATGTGGACAGCTGACATCACCTAAGCCCCGCCCCCTGACTACAGGAAGTCGATTTTTTCATGGTGAAATGCCCATATTTGTCCCCCCTAATTTAGTGAACATGACACTAAGGTCATGCACTGTCTTCATGATGTTGTAATGACAATTCAGATCTGCTAGCTTTTCAGGAAGGGAGGGGATTTGATACAATGGCGAATTCTGGCGTGACGCTGTGACCTTACGTTTGACTGTAACTTCCACAAACAGCCTCCGATTTGCCCGAGACTGAACATCACATCACCAGTGTGGTAAAGATAGAGTATCTCCTAGTGGTGAGACGTGTAATGGTGGGCTCAGAGGGGATGCTGAGTCAGGGTGAGGTGTGGACGAGGAGGCCGTTCACGGTTTCTGGTGTCGGGGTGGTTGACTTTCTGTTCTGCCAGACGTGCCCTGGTGCCCCCGGCTGCCGGACAGGATGGAGAAGCGCGGAGCTGGGTTTGGAGAGGGTCGGGGATGGAGCGGAGGGGGTGCGGAAGGAGGGCGAGCAGCTTCGCTGCGAGGGCCGAACGACGCTGCTTGCAGCTTTAATTTTTTTTTTTTTTCTTTTTTTTTTTCTTTTTTTTTCTTCCGCGTCTTTGGATGGCCTTTAGGGGGTCTTAGCATATCCAAAAAGTCACCAAATTCTGGCCCAATATAGAAAGTGCGTGAAATTTACGTATTTCACTGGCAACGTGAAAGTTGGTAAAAAAATGTTTCAACAGCGCCCCCTGGAAAATTAAAAATACCCCTCCGCTTTGACCTTTTTTCATAGTAGAGTGATGAAATTTGGTACACTTGTAGAACTCAACAATACGCACAGAAAAGCCTCTTGCACCCATGGTCAATATCAAACAGGAAGTCGGCCATTTTGGACTAAAGTGGCCATTTTGACCCCGTTTTGGCCATTTCTAGGGTCTATATTTGGTTTAACAGTTTGGTCATTTTTCGCACGATCGTCTCAAAAATAGTGTGCGATCGAACAGAAGCGATGGACGATTAAAATGAGACAATAAAATTGACTTTTCGTAAATACTGAAGGGGCGGGACCAGGCCTCAAAGTTCGAGCACTCGCCAAAAAAATTCAAATTGCTATAGATTCATAAATGAAAGAATTACAGTTAAAGAAATGTTCTAAGGACA